GAGAGAGAGAGAGAGAGAGAGAGAGAGAGAGAGAGAGAGAGAGAGAGAGAGAGAGAAAGAGAGAAGGAGAGAGAGAGTTTAGAACCTCATATCTCGATGGAAAATTGCGAGCATAGGTGTGAAATAAACATGGCCTTAGCCTGCGCGCGGCGTGCCTTCTCTTTTTCTCTCTGTCGTTTTGATGCGTACTCGTGACCGTGCATTTTTATTATCGCGCAAGCGATGTGTGTGTGTGTGTGTGTGTGCAAGAACGTGGGATTTAAGCGTCTGACCGATGCGGAATTTTAACGTCGGCTCTCGGGAGTCACGGCATATTTATGTTCGCGGCGAGATGATTGATTTCCCCACCGACACAGGATAGCGCGCGGAACGCGTTATTTCGCTAATGCGACGTCGGAATTTCGATGGAGCGAAATAAAGTTACTCGCTATTTGTTTAATCGATCGCTGAGAGGCAACCGGCGATGCAAAAATCGAGCCGCGAGAATCATTTTTCATCTAGCGGTCGCAATAAATATCGTCCGTCTGTTAAGTCCCCCGTCCGACGTGCGATTTATACGGAGCGGTTCGCAGGAAGGTGCGCGATTAATATTTATTAGTCACAAATTAAACACGATCAATCTTTAACTTCGAAAATCACAGTTAATCTTCGCCTGGGAGCGAATACCGAATACCGAATTTCATATCTCTCGTATTTCAGGCGCGTATTTCTTTATTCTGCGACGACCCTCAGATAAGGGTAGGCAAGTTTACGTAAATTTGACAGCAACTTTATTGGTCAATATGCAAAAGTTGTGTCCCTTATAAGTGCCTCATGTCATTCATATTTATCTCATAAAATGATAAAAGAGAAATATAATACGATAGAAAAAAATTATCAAGATTTACTTAAAACACACACAATATGTCGTGTAAAATGCTATATAAAAATTTGAGAATAACTTGTAACTCTAACAATGTAACAAAAATATTATGGCATTGTATAGCGACATAATTTTTTGCTACATTTCGTTTTGTTATTATAATATTGTAATTTTGTACTGTAAATTTAATTTAATTTTAATTTAAGTTAATTTCAAAAATTTTAGCAGTCGCGATTCGTAAAGCGATTTTTTATGAAAGGCACTCATATTTATCATATATAAAACGACATAATAGACATATGAAAAAGATTATCAAAATTTACTCAAAATATTAATTAATAATAATAAATACTATATAATAATAATAATATGTAACAGTGTGTGAAAAACTGTGTGTAAAGTATAATATGAACATTTGAGATTTACTTTTGATAAATTTGTCGCTGCATCAAAATATAATAGAAAATTTACATCATTGTGTATAATGCAAATTTAATAATTAATTCAAAATATACATACAGTGCATGTACTTGCTTTATAAAAGTGATTAAAAACTTTGTAAGGCTTTTATGATCGCACTTGTCTTGTGTTGCGCCAATCATAAGAGTCTGTCTGAGTCGATCTTCTTTCAAACTTCATTTTTATATATCGATAATATTTTGACGTTCGAGTGATTCTCGAAGTTGACGAGTGCTCGAATAACAAAGATAAACGCTGCTGAGACGACAACGCGCCGGTCCTAAACCAACAACCGTGTTTACGAGTGAAAAATCGAGGGGAAAATCAATGATCATAGAGCTGACTTACTCTTCTCGTCGTCGTAGTCTTCCCTGTAGAGCACTTGTCCGTCGCCGGAATCGCCGTCCACGTCCTCCCGGATGACATATGGCCTCGCGTTCTCCTTGTTCTCCAGCGTGCATGGCAGGGCGAGGCCAAACCTGACCGGTCGACTACTGAAAGAACGAGGAACACAGCGATCGTTATTAGTTTAGCTCCTGTTCGCGATATCTTCGTCGTCGTGATAGCCGACGACTCTACGTGAACCACACGGAAAAAAATATTTGGTTGGATTAACCAAGTGTCTGGTGAAAAATACGAACTCTCTTATAGTGAATCAGTGGAAAGACCAATTCACCGATGATCAGTGAATATTCACTGATTTTCAATAAAAACACTCCTACTAATTAAACAAGATCTCTAGTTAACCAGAATTTATAGTTGTCTAATTTATAAAAATCTCCTTTGATTTTAATCAAAATCTTGTTGACTTGAGCGAAATTCTGATAATTTCAATCGGAATTCTACTCTTTTAAAGTGAATCAGTGAAAATGTTTTTGATTGAATCGATAAAGGGAGATTTTCACCGATAATCAGTGAATATTCACTGGTATTTTCAGTGAAAACACTCATTTTATCGTTCCATTTTATATCTCACTCATTATAACCAGTGGAAGTAAATTTCACTGCAAAGTCTGTAATACAAATTCGTTATGTCAAAACCCAACTTTCTGCGTTTGTAGCAACGGTCTCCATGCAATGACATTGTCTGTGTTCGTAAAGTGCATTAGTAATAGAAACAGTCGCCACCGTTAAATGATTCTTTCAAGGAAGTTTCTCACCGCGATTGCATTGATATACTTATAACTGAACAATCAGTTACAAGTGTAGCGTTTGAAGAGTACACTGATTGTACCTTAGTGAATGGTGGCTCATATTTCACCAGACAGTCGATCAATCGAACCAAATTCTTTTCCCCGTGCAACGTTTCTACTTTCTACGTGTGTGCTACACGAGAACGAGATATGCGAATGGGATATGCCGCGCGCGCGGGGGTGGAGCGGGGCAGTGGTGGTGGTGGTGGTGGAGAGATGCATTAATGGTGACGTCGAGAGAGTGAAGAGACAACGTGGCGCACGCCGTATGGAACGACAAATCTCGCGGGTTCCGCGCTCATTCGTCAAGTGTTCCTCCAAGTCCGGCTGTAACCCCCGTTCGTTCGACACGTTCCACACGTGTGGCGACACATTAACTTCGTACACACCCGCGCGACTGCACGACACAGCACAACACTTATGTCGCGTTCGCGTTATTACGTTTACGACGTCGACGAGAGTCGCAATAATAACGCCATGTCGCTAACGCTAATCGCGCATACGGTACATGCCCGCTCATCGTTCCCTCCTTCTCTCTCTTTCCCTCACTCTTTCTCTCTCTCTCTCTCTCTCTCTCTCTCTCTCTCTCTTCCTTTCTCCGCGAGGAAATTTGCGACGAGAATTGTATCTGGGATGTGGCGCACGGCGACGAGAAATGACAGATGACGACGCGATTATTCGTCGGATAAGTACGATCTTGGCGTATTCAGCGCGTTTAAATCGGATTAGCCGCGGCTGTGCGGGTCGGTTCGTGCGCGAAGCGTCGCTTGTTCCGCGAATTTTTAAGCTTAAACCTCGGCGCGGAGTTAGACGCGCTAAGTTTTCCACCGGGAACGGCAAGTCGTCCCGGGGTGAGTTGAGGGAGAAAGAGAGAGAGAGAGAGAGAGAGAGAGAGAGAGAGAGAGAGAGAGAGGGAGAGAGGGAAAGATTGTAAACACTTCGCGAATCTTTAACGAGAGCGCCGGTCTTGAGTGTGTACACAGTCTTGAAATTAAGGTCTTTTATAATCCGCTTCCTCTTTTTTGCCCTCTTCTTCTGCTCGCGGCGGTTTATCAGCGACAGCCTTTCGCCACATATATGCACAGTGGCAAATTTCCAAACTTATCGAGGCTTTCCGTCTTTCCCTTCCACGCCCGCCCATCCCCGGGCTTGCTTTCCGTATTTCCGGAGATTTTGTTAATCCTAGATTGCCAATGCCAATAGTCTGTTTATCAATGCCAACGTGGAGTCACTTTCATTCCCTTAATTGCTCTTCATTTGCAAACTGCCTTAACATTTTTCACTCTAGCACAATGGGGTCATTTTCGCGATTTTTAACTTTGAATTACTCGTAAACTGGCGGAACGTAAACTTTCGGTTCACGCGCTAGAAATAATTGCACACGGAAGAAAAGTTTCGTTGGATTAATCAAATTTCTGTTATGAGAGGTACGAACGAACCAGAAATTCTGATAACTTCAACCCGAAATTTTCCAATCCGTTTATATTTTTTTCACTAGAAATTAGGTTAATTCAACCAAACGTTTTTCCCGCGTAGTTCGTGGGAATTTGAAATTCAAACACAATTAGGCCATTTTGATTACTTGTCATGTAACAAAAAAGCAAAGTTGCTATAGAGTCGATTTTTATCCCAGTATGCTAGATTAAAGTGTCCAAAACATGTGTGCCATACGGTGGTTAATCATTTTTACATAATCGTTTTTCACAAAATCATTTTTTACATAATTATTTTTCACAGAAGCACTAGGATAAAGTAACATTTATTGCAAAAATGTTCTTTTTATTAAATTGTAAACGTAGGTCGAAACGATCACAATCACAAAATATCGGCAATCTAAGATTAATGTTGCGAAATATCGCAGGATACTCGGCGGAAATCCGGCGCAATCCGAAGCCGCGCGGCATGTCGCGAACTATGCCAATTATGTCGCCGCCCTGACTTTAAATATCGTCCAAATTCTTATTTTCTCATTTCTTCTCTTGTGCGGTGCATGATGACGTCAGAAGCGAGGTGCCTCGGGCAAAATGTTTTCAAAGCGTCTCCAACGTTCAGAAGCCGGCGAGCTTGAAGCGTCAAAGCTGCGATAATGCGGCACGGAACACAGAAAAAAAGTATCACGGGCGATACTCTCGTTTCGTGTGATATAACGTGCTCGAAATTTCCGATCCGCGCGCATGAAATATTCAAATATTCCCGATATTTAGAAAAAAAAGAAGAAAACGGTGATTGCTCGATTATCTCAACAGAAATCGAACGTTCGATTCGATTGGTATTCTTCCTCCAGATATTATTGCGAGCAAATTCGCAATACATCACACGGGGGCGCGCGCAAATAAATGCGATCGTTGAAAACAACCGTGCGCAATTTATGTTAATTGTTGAAAACACGTGCAATTTGCTCGCAAATTCCTGCGTGTTCCGCCGGGAAGGTTGCGGCGCAAGAGGCAAAATTGCAATAATATAAGAGGGGGAAAACAAGAATAAAATATTCAATAATAATATATTAATTAATTGTGTATATATATGTATGTGTGAGTGTGTGCGTGCGCGCGTCAGTATAAAATGTGGTATTTAAAGGTGAAAAATGCATCGTATAGAAGTGATTACAGTTATTAATATTTGAAAAAGGTTATACACCGCATGCTTTCGTATAGAAAAGTTACAACGAGAGACACGAAATACGCACGTAACGCGGGGGAAATCGATAGCGGGGGGAAAATGTCCGAGCAAAATCGCGAATATTCACAACGTGCGGCTGACATTGAGGCTCAACTGAACGTTACCTTGTTGGGAAACAAATCCGTCCCGATTGTGGGGATTGCGAGGCGAACCTGTGGACACACCTCTGGGACATGACGCGACACCGCCGACGATCCGAGATGACGGATTTTCGCGCAACTCACGAAAGATCGATCGATCAGACGACAAGTAGTTGCCGGCTCGCGGCGGCGCTTTCTTATTCGACTCACGTGGTGGCGTGTCGTGCGTGATCGAATGGTGCGGCGTGACAAGCGTAAAGGCGAGAGAGGTTCGTCATAAATGGCTTTCCCTAAGGTTTTCTCATGCTTAAGGTCGGACGTTACGTTGCATGCTCACGGCGCTCGTGACGGAGACGACGGTGGCGGGAAGAAAGTCGACGGGGGACGAAGAGACAGAAACAGAGAGAAAAAACAGAGAGAGAAAGAGGGAGTGAAAAAAGTTGGAACATCTCGGTTCTCTCGCGATCAACCGCGCCGTGGACGCAAAAGAGACAATATATACGTATACATATATGTATATATATACCATCAGTTCGCACATGCTTAGTTAGACCAATGCCCAATTACCATATTCTCATCCTAGGCCTCAACGGTGGCCTTCTGGGTTAAGCATAAGAAAAATACGATACGCTTTTACTAGTGACTGACATGTTAATGGCGGGTGCACGAAGTACATTCCATGATCTCGCCTGGGAGGCACGTTTCCCCTCAATGTCCGTCTCGCATCTCGGACCTTGCGGCCGGCTCGCTTGGTGTGATTTGCTCACTTTTTCTTTTTTGTTGTTGCAACAAGACCAAGCATCGCATCGTGCAAGAATCGCGGGTATTCCGTACGGCCGAGAATGAACCTCACGTTCTTAGACTCGTGAGAGAGAGAGAACATTTTATCACACGCGGGCAATTTTTGCTTGATAATATAGCGTACTAATAGTACAATTGACAATACTTGTATTGCGCGACTGGGATATACACATTCCTTTTTTTAAGCCAAAACTTATATGTGGTGGTAGTAAACGAGTAGTTTGACCAGATGATACTTGATGGTACAGACTTACCATATGCACGAGAAGATATCGGAAAAATAAAAAATATTCACGCTGATGCGTGTATTTTCGGCGCTGCAGTTTAAATTGCCCGTTATTTCTAATGTCAGTATGACGAAAAATTTGATCTCGGGTAGTAACTATTGCGAATGTTATGAGAATTGCAGAAAGAGTATTCATTGTGCTTCTAGGGAGTAATTCAGTATGAGAGTTTCTCTTCGCACGCGTTTCAAAACTATTGAAGAAGCTCCGCCTCTTGGAAAAGATTGCAATTTTACGTGCAATTCCCGCTCTCTGAACACTCCTCTCAAATTCTATCCACGTTACGAGTACATATCCCAGCCGGTTAAGACTACTATGATACTTCTTCGCTTCATAAACGTTCGCATCTTCGCGAGGAATCCTCTGCGTGTACAGGATTGGTCGGATCAAATCGGATACCTTGTTAGATACCCGCGAGACTTGGCGAATTCCGAATGAATGAGAGATGCTCACTCGTCCGAGCGATCGCCAAGTCGCGAGATGCCAAGAGCTGCTGTTGAGCAGCGAGACGGGAAATTAAAGGACCACGTTCAGAACAAATTAGGGCTCCTCCTCGACATCCGCTTTTTACTCCGTTCCAGTGTATAATGATAAGTCGTCGGTGACGGAG